ATATTAGTGTAACCTAGTAAGAAAGTATTGTATTTTACAAGCCAGAGACATAATAGATCTCACAGAACTATTTTTGTTCCTCCGATTCAAAAGCATGTCAAAGAGTGATAGCTGTGACCAGCTAGAAGTGGAAACCTGTGGTTTTTCAGCACTGCACTTGGAAATGGGCTGGACAAAAAGGTCCAAATGCAGGCAAGTGCTTAATTGCACGTACGTATTTGTATTTTTGCAACGCCCCCGCTTGCGAGGGGAGGAGGAGGGAGCTGGCAGGGAGTGCAGCCGCCAGGCAGCCAGGGGCCGAGGGGGAGCCAGGCCGTCCCCACACAGCCCCATGCAGGGAGTGGGGCAGCCCCACGCATCAGGCACCTTTGTGGGGACAGGGACGGGACAGGAACTGGGGCTGTGGGGAGCTGGAAACAGTCACTCCTACAGTCTATCCCTCTCAATGCTCTCTGGCCCAGGCCAGTGGAAACCTTGTAGGAGCAGCTATTTCCCAATATCGGTACTGACGCAGGGCTATTTGTGAGGCCCTCTCAGCCCAGGAGGTGCTCTCCCACCAGGCTGGGATGTGTGACCTCCTGGGGTGCTTTGGGGTGACTCCTCAAACACCGCTCCAGGCCTCTTGGCTTATCACACTGTCCAAAACCACCTCTTTCAGTGTGGAAAAGGGGATGAGATGCAGCCCTCTGGATTCTCTGGGTCTCCCCCAGGCCTGGGTACTGGCCAGCCCAAGCAAATGGCAGAGCAGGCAGCATCCCAGGGGCAGGAGATGGCCAAATGCCTGCCAGCTCCATGCCTCCCCTCCCTTTTCTGGGACCTTGGGACCAGGTGCCACTGCCCTGCCCTGCGTCTTTCCACTGTCGTCTCACTGGGGTCTGGTCAATGCCTCAGAGCTGGCCTCTCTCCCCAAAAAACGACACAGGCCTGCCTGAGGACAAGCAGATTTTCCTCTCCCTGGGACACTGGGGCCAGCCAGGTGCCACCCACACACTGGAGCATGGGTAGCACACAGAACGTCCTTCCTGAAAGGCATCAAGTTGTAAAACAAACAAGTTATAAAATATTTTTACCCTCTGTTTTCAGGTGAAAACAAACTTCATTTACCTCACTTAATGGGGCTGAGGGCACAAAGCCATCCCAGAAATCATGCCATTTTAAAGCCTGCCGGCACCATGGAAATGGGGAAGTCTGAGGGGACATCAATGCAGGCCAGTAACAGGTCACCCACAGAAATTGGAAGGCTGCTTCCACATCTAAAATTACTCAGTTCAGTGTGAGAGCACACACTGACCTTCTAGCTAGAGCTTTGGCTACATCATTCAGGGGGAGGCAAAGAGAAAAACAGGACAGTCTGGCTTAAAACACATAAGCAAGAACACAAACAGAAACAGAAGTTACCACCAGACTTTACCCCAGCTTTAAAGCTTTAACCCAGCTGCAGGGAGTTCAGACATGTTCCCAGACAAGCACACCGATATACAGCACCCTTAAGTTACACAACATAAGGCAAAGTCAACCTGCTGCCTACCTCCCCTGGCCGTCATTTTGAAGGCCCTCTTGCAGCAATGGCTGCACCTCACCCAGCAAGCCCCAAGCCATGGGAAAGCAAACATGCCACAGTCAAAACCTTCACCCATATCACTGCTGATTTTAGTGCATGAATAAAGATATCCTTGTGTGACCCCTCTCCCCAAGGCAGAGGATTCTGCGTGTTTAATTTGTGTTTGGTTTTATGCATAAACGTTCAGTGAGATTAGAACACGCAGCTTCTTCAGTGTCTGCTGTAACGAACAGACTGAAGTGGGTTGTACCGTCTTGGTACATCTTGATCTTACATGTGAGCTGAATGCCACAGGTGTCATGAACCTGTGTTTTAACAGAAGGTTTAATAGCTGCAAACTGCAAGATGTCTGTTCTTCAAAGTATTTTCTAGAAAGAAATATTTTCAAGAATCCTGACGCAGCAGTAATAGCTGTAGGTACAAAGATTTATTTGCAGGACACAGTAGCTGTGCCGTGTTCCTTACCTGTGCTCCCCAAGACAAATATATATATATATACACGACTAAATCCTTCCATAATGAACAAATATCCACTCGCCTCAAGTATTTGCAGCTGTCACCATTGCTTTAACTTTTAGCTCCATAAGAACTAGATCATATGGTAGCAAGGAATTCAAGGGTGAAGGGTTAATCATTTCACTGCAGCTCAGGGATTAACTTCACATTAAAAACACGTGCATTTGTATCCAAGTGACATAATGAAAAATGTGGTGGGACATGAGAGGTGCACTCATTCAAGCTAGAAAGGATTTATTGAACTTGTTCTTCAAGATCTTAGAAAACCTAATCAAACATTTCTCAGCCAGTGCACTGCTTGCCACAAACTGCTTGCCCTCTGCTAACCTGATACACCGATCCCATGACTAACAAAGAGTTTTATTAGCAAACAGAAGGAGGATGTGTTTCACAACTTCTTTTAAGGGGCCTTGGTGATCATTCTGTAATATGTTGACTAAACTGTGCAAAAGTCCAGGAAAAGAAAAATAACACTTGCTAGAGAGAAAAAAAATGGCATTTAACAGCAGGAACATGCTGTTAAAGCACAAAAAATGTTGTTAAAGATCACCATATCAGCTTGTATTTGGGAGAGTCCTTATGAAGAGGGTACAGACTATGAACCCTTGCAGTAAAATGAATGAGCTGCATGCTGTCCTGATGAGCTACTGGTGCAAGGAAGTGCTCACTTGTACAAAAAGGCTCACCTTCATGAGATGTGGAGCTGCCTTCTGGCTCACTGGAATAACCATACAGGACTCATTTTTTCCATCACTGGTGTGGTGATAGCTAGACTCTGGCTGACACGGAGGACAGTTTGACAGCATTCAGCAACACCTGTGGGCCCAAGGAGTAACCAGTGCCACCAAAAACAGAGAGGGGAGAAGAAGGCAGGAGCTCTGGTGCACAGAACACAGCCCATGGGACTACTCAAGGAAATATGGTTCATAGTTTACCCTTAAGGAAGTGCAGCAGGAGTTTAAATCCCTGCAGCATATTAGGTTTACAGCCCAGCCAAGCCCTGATTCTGCAGCAGTACAGTGTCCTTTACCAGCTGGATAGACAGATCTGACAGAAAAGAAAGTGCAACCTGCTTTTCCCACCCACACTTGCAAGTCATCTCCAGAGGTACCATTGCCGCAGAGCTCTCATTTGCACCTCTGTGGGAGCTTTTGCTGAATGGAGGTATCCTTATCTTCAAAGCCATTGTAGGAGCAGATTATTCTTGTCTTGTGAAAAGAGCAAAAATAGAGGAAGGAGTGACATTATTCAGTCCCACATGCAACCCCAGATAAGACAAACAACAGCATGTATAATGAGAGCAACTTGAAAAGCAGACTAGAAGCATCCAGAGAGAGAAGGATGCAGTGAATCAAGTCTGAAAACCTCAAATTAGGTCAGTAGAACTGTATTCTAACAGTGAAGCCTAGGTAGCTTTGTTTCCTACTGGCCATTTTCTATCAAGATGAGTGGAAGGCCTAGCAGCTCAGCAGCTTGCCTGGTCAGCCCACTTCTACCAGGCACCCTGCTTGGGAGTGAACATCCAGGAGGCATTGGTCACAGGTCACAGACCCGTTTTCTTATTTCTTTGAGCAGCTCTAGAGACTCAGTTGCTTCTTGGTTGAATTGCTTCAGCCCAGAGCTCCTGCACTCAGCCTCTTTCGCTTTGTGTGTTAGCCAGGCTTCCTTTCAGCGCAGTATTTCTTGAGCACGTGATGCAGAATTAATGCACTTGCAGGGCAATGAAGGGAACTGAAGTGTCCTTGTGAAACTGCAAGTGAGCAGTAGGAGTTCATTTGAGTTCAAAACAGTTATAGAGATCTTTATCAGCTGAGTGCCTTGTAAAACATCAAACACCCAGTGAATGTCATATTACCTACCTCATCTCTGCAGTGAATTGTGTGATGAGAAGGAGAGAGAGCAGCTGCGTGACATAAGTTTATTCACTTCCCACAAAACAAACCAGATCCAGCCTCTTCTGCCCTGGCAATTTGCTGAAATAAGAACATTCCACCTGTGAAGTGTAAACCCAACCAACGAGCACCAAACATCCATTAGGCATGGGTCATTGACTAGTGTGTGGGTGGAAAAACCTTTCTTGTACTAAAATCACAAGGTATGTAGTGCAGGTGGGAGTCAGAACTAGCTACTAATTAATGATTTATGTATAAGGAAACCAGTTCAGCCCAAATTACCTTACATTAATGTTACTTGTTAAGGAGACTAACTTATTCTGCAGAGCTAAGCCAAATTCTGCTCATAGGCTCATGCTCACTGCACAAATACCTGTCTACACTGATCCAGGCTGATCCTGACAAGAACGCTTACAATGATGCTCTGTGATCTCTATTAAACCAAGAAATGATCAAAACAAACCATAATTCAATTATATTTTTGTTATCAATATTTTTTTATTAAACAACAACAACAAAAAAGCTTTAAGATAGTCCTTGCTGGCATATTCAATATAAGTTGTTCACAAGTCATAAAACAAGAGTTGAAAACTCATTTTCTACTGCAAATAAAAAAATGGCTGGAGGTTAAAGTGGCAGGATGAGGGTCATAGAAACCATTCATTTTAAATTACAATATTTCTCTTTTGAAAATAATTATGACTGCAAAATATAACATGCTTATTAATTTGGACAACCTGCAAGTAGGGATTAGGGAAATGAGTGTTAAAGCAGAAGCAGAAATTCTGTGGAGCATTTGTCAAGCTGAGCAGTGAATCTTTCTTTCTGCACATGTACTGTTTGCAGGAGAAACTGGTGGCATAAGGTGGTGCTGTATGTGCTATACCTTAAATTATACTTACAGGCTTGCATTGCCCAGTGCATCTCACTGGGTGACAGGTTGGCCAGGCAGCATGGCTTTTTTGAAAACCGATGCTCCATTTAAACAGATGAAAGCTACCTTCCTTTTTTTTTTTTTTTTTTTAAAAAAAAAAAATAATGAAATGATTGTGAACAGTTTTCTATCTTTCAAAGGTCTGAAAAAAAGTTAAAATGCTTCATATACAGCAGGAGAGAGAAGACTTGTCTCAGAAACCCTGCAAACTGAGACCATTCCTTAGTACTTCTACATGATCTTGGTTTATACTTTCCTTGTCTCTGATCATGCCTGCCTTTGCTGTAGTCCATATGTCAGCCAGCCATACATTTGTACACTGGTAAGGCTCATCTTTGCTTAATCATGCTGGTAGGAGACAAGGATGCTGGATTTCTAGGAGTTAATTCTTCCTTTTCCAGACTTCATGTAGAATGTCTTAATTCCAGAGCTGTTTATAGGCTACTTGGATGCTTATCTTTCTAAAGACATAATCTCCTTTTTGGTATTTTGAGTTTCTGATTCATTATTTTTGTCCACAGCAATGATATCATAACCAAAGCACTGAAGGTTAACTAAAGACAAAGGTTTTTCTTTTTTTTTTTTTTTTTTTTTTTGTTGACTTTCTGGTTCAGTTGCAATTTTATTCCTCACTAATTCTCGTTTTTTTAATCGATGGGAATGACTGCTGTCACTTACACTGTTGTAACTCACACTGAATGGCAGAGGGTTACGCTAGAGCTCGCTGCAGGGAGTATGCATGTGGTTGGCCACAGCTTGGGAATGTCACTTAAAATTTTCTGTATACATATAAACACAATGAGAAATTTTATACGCGTTATCAGGTAAATCTCTATTTGGCATCATTAAGAAGTGAATGAACATATCTCTCCTCCAGCTAAGGACTGATCTCTACCAGTTTTTTGCCTTATTTACTGACGTGGGGTGCTGACTAGGGCTGGCAGCTCTTTGCGCTTGCTGTAGGAGTCCCAGGATCTCTGTAGGGCAGCTCCTTTAGGAAGCAGCTGGTTTTTCTGTCCCCCCTCCGCTACCTGGATGACATCAGATGCCAAAGTCCAAAGGAATCTTTTAAAATGATTAACTAGATGCAGGTTTGGTGATACTGATTTGAATAACAAATCTGTGTAATCTTGGCATGACTTCTACCTCTTTGTTTGCATTTCAAATAATCTACAGAATGAGTTTATTGGGTGAAATTTCTTAAGAACAATGATTTATTATGCATACTGGAGAACTCTGGGGCTGGACTTTTGAATTGTGTTTGTATTATGCAGAGGCAGACAGGAAAAACTCCCACCACCATATGTTTTGAGGATTTTGTCAAAACTAACCTTTGTAGCTATGATTTCACTTGTTGAATACAGAACATTTGCAGCAAGTTGTGGATGAACAGTCTCCAGACTGAGGTTCCTGTCCTGAAAAACACATGTGCACGCACCATGAACAGAGACTTGAGGAAGTCAACGTAATCCCGTACAAACTACAGAGATAACTCAAGGAACAATTTCTATGAATGAGCTGTGAGTCATGACTCTGCAAAGACTTGCACACGGATTGATAGTTTAGAAATGTGTAGAGTCAAGGGTCTGGGTTGGCCTTTGAAGACTAGGGGTGAGGAATCATTCATGGAAACACACCAGTGTGGGGCCTGAAATACCAGAGAGAATCTTCAAGTGCCAAAGGTTGTCTCAGAAAATCTTGAAGTACCCAAAGATAGTTCCCACAGAGAAAGAGAGGGTGCAGTCATACTACTATTTATTTACTAGAAACAATCTTTCAACTCTACTGTCAAAGTAATACATATCTGTTTACATTTATACCACTGACACTGAGATTCAAGACTTAAAACTGGGCTAGATCCAGACCTGATGTGAGGTGCTTAGCAATCACTGACCCAATTTCAGGAGAAAAGTGATTCATCAGGACCTAACAGAGCAGCTGGTTCCTTCAGAGTGGGAGGGGTGCACTGTTTATTTTTAAAACCTCTTTGTGAAACTAGGCTCTGGCAGCAGGCTGGGCAATCCTTTCAACCATCAGGCCAAGTGCTTGCTGCACTGCAGAGAGAGGGGTACAGGAGCAGCAGGAGGGCCACCATAGTGCCTGCGTTTCCAGCAAAACACTTGAAGAACTTTTTGGTGGGCGTGGAGGAACCTTGCAGTGAAATAAAGGGTTTGCCTTGGCTATGAGAAAAGCAAGAGAGGTCAGTCAGAGACTAAGAGAGACAAGGAACCTACAAATGGTCTCCAAAAAGCAAAGTGAAAAATGTTAGGTAGTGCTAGAGCAGAGGCGGAGTGCACTCAGCATGTGCTTGCAGTGCATGACCATAACGAGATCACTTGTCCAGGACAAACTCGAAAGGGAGAATGAGTGATACTGGGACCCTGTAGAGAGTTGAAGGAGATTGAATATTTGGGGAGTTTTTGGTTGCTGAAGTGTTTTCTAAAGATCCCTTTATTATCCAGCTACATTCCTCAGTTCTTACATCAAGGTTACTGCATCGTTACTCACTTAGCAGTGTAAAAGTGTGTCTGCCTGGTACCCAAACGCTCCCTCATGTGACTTCACCAATATTCCTTGAGTACACAGGGATCAGTTTGGCCAATGGGAATCACTACAGGGATCTCAGAAGCTTGAACTAATAAAATCTGCAATAGGTGAGATGGCCACCCCCTACGTGCACAAACATCAGATGCACCCTGCACTGAAACAGGTGAGGAAAAAAATTGCAGGGTCAGAGACAGCCCCGCACAAGTACTCTGGGCCATTACACTCCCTACTGTACTGCCTCTTCAGCACAGGTTGCCTTTCTGGGCAGGCTTTCTGCAGAAGGTCTAATGATAACCATCAGCTTCAATTTTCATGCATGGCACCTGCTTTTGGGTTGAGCTAGTCATAATTGTTTCAAAGACCTAAAACAACAGAATGTGATCGGTTTAAATCACTTATAAATGCTCATGTCAGATGAAAACACACAATTTTCTTGTGTCATGTCACCTTAAAACTCTTTAACTTCCAAACGCAGACTAAATTATCACTAGTTTTGGCTTACATCAATTCTTCGTGTATACAGAAACATCCACAGTGCTTTACACGCACACAGGGCAGAGCCTCAGTATGCTTTTTATCCTTCCATTGAAAAGCAGCAGTCATGCAAATTAACACCAGCTGAGGTTTTTTCCATCCAGATTTATTTCAACAATGGTACCTTTCAGGCTTAAATAACATTAGGGCATACTTTTATTTCTTTTTTTATTTTCGAAACAACTTTGTACTATGGAATTTTCATGAGGTTATAATACAGCTACATGCTACAGAAAAGATTCAGCAGCAAATTTTGTGAATAAGCCAGATTGGAAAACTCGAATGACCACAGACTGTATTGATCCTATTGCTCTGCTTGTTCTAGGTAGAGATAAATGAATTCATAAGTTGTGCTGATGCAAATACCACATTCCTGAGCCAATGAAAGCTGACTCGTGTAAAGGTTGGGCCAACAGAAGGCAGGCTCCCCAGCTGAGAAAGAGAGAGCCCTACAGGAATGGCAACGAATGCTACCTCGGTGACGGCGGGTGACCAGGCACTCCAGGAAGCTTAGCTATTCATACCAAAATTATTGCTATCAGAGACGCACAAGTTGAAAAGTAATTCTGTGGGATCCAGCAAACTCTTAAAATAATAAACTCTGAAATAATATTCTGTTGTCTGTGTTAAAAAATAGCCAGTCTTCTAGAAATATTTCAAAGACAAATATGCTAGGTAGGACCCATCCAACTCTACAGCACCGGATCATTTGTCTCTTGCCATTCTTTTCCGCCTGGCACCTAGCCCAAATAGCATGAATCACTTGGCTCCTTTCTTGGAATATGTTCTCCCTCCCAGTCGCTGTGATCTGTATCAAGGATTTCTGTAATTTCTGCTCTTATTTACTTTTATTCCAATTATTGTGTTGGCAATAGGTGCTCTACAAACACGTACCGAGAGGCAATCCCTTTGCTGAGGGCCTGTGTTTACACAGATATGACAGCCAAGAGGCAGGCGAGGAAGAAAGCCGTCCCTCCCCAGCTCTGCCATGGCCTCATCACACTGCGCTGCACGTACCCAGGCCCAGGTCGGTGCCCTTATCTGGTGTTGGCCAGAACATTGTCTGTGAACTGTATGGTAACAAGCCTCATGTTAGAAAATCCTCTAATGGGAACACCCAGATAAAATCCCAGACCTGAAGCTGGGATTCTATATATTTGTAGAGTGGCCCAGCCTCCAAGGAGAACAAGTATGCATACAGCAGTTGCAAGCTTGCATTTTTAACTTTAATCCCATAAAAACCTTACATGTGTATTCATTTCTTTCCTTTTTTTTTTTTTATATTATTTTTATTTTTTATTTTTATTTGGTGAGAATTGCTGTAATATATGAGCCTGTGATGGTCTATTGAAAACAGACCCTTGAATAGGAAATGGAGAGTTTAGATGTTATAAACTGCTAGTAATTTATTATTCTGAGATTGGCATATATTTTGGCGAAGTTAAAGTTGGCTGGAGTGATAGTGAGTGATGAAAGATGTTATGGCGGTTGAGAAGTGGCTGAATTCCTTTGTTTCCAGACTTTTCACTTTTTTTTAAAAAGCGCAGAATGTTTATATAGAAAGTGTAATATTGTTTTATGAGTATTTGCTGGACCTTGCTAAAACCAGGCATTCAAGCTTTACTCTTTTAACAAAGTGTTTTGTTATAGAATTCCTCTGTGTTGTTTTTTTAATGTTTCTAAATTAGGGTTAAACCAGGTTGGTATGTGGGGGCCATGGGAGAGCAGCCCAGAAGTGAGGAACTGTCTGATATCTAAGGGAGTGCACTTCATCTCCAGAAGGCGATGTGATGGCAGGAGAAAGAACTCCTCTGCTGGGCACAAAGAAGTGATAACACAGGGACACAAAGCAGGAGAAGAAAGGCTTTTAAGCACTGGTAAAACCCTCAGCACATTGAGAGTTTAATGCCCCTAGTTTAAGATCCTGCCTGCCCCACGTCTGCTTTCTGGGCCACCAGAGCCCGCTTGTTTCCCATGTCTCCATTCCTTCTAACATGGGACCCACACACAGCTTTAGCCCGTGGTTATAAAATAACATTCCTCCTTCTTGGGCATTTCTATTTTCCCCTCCAAGAGGGTGGCGTACGATGAGCCTGGACACACTCAAGAAGCACCTTCCTGTTTCTGATGTTCCTCTGCAGGTTTCCTCTACATTTATCTCCTCCAGATTGGCTTCTCACAAAACTCCTTGGCTTCCTGCTCCTTGCTTGGCCCACTAAAGTCAGTCTCGATCTGTTCTGTTTTTATAATAAAGGACAGCCTGTGTACAGAGCTCTGAGCCACTGGACCCCAGGATGTTGCATCATCGAGGAGGAAACTTTATTAAGGAATGGAAGCTGCTAAAGCACACTCAATTTAGCATTTTGTTGCTGTGGGCCATTGCATCAGGCTTCTTTCGAGCTAAGTACCGGTAAAAAGAGCAGTCACTTCTACTGGAGTGGAAGTAGTGGAGAGGAAAAATAACCCCAGGCTAACTTTTAAGCTTATTGGGAACAAGAGAGTCATTTTTCTGATCGTGCCATGCAGCCTGTGTTGTGATAACTTTCTGACTGTGTATTCTCCCATTTAATACTCCCACTTTAATGAAGACCTCACATAATGCTTCTACTCTGCTCCAGCCTATTCTCATTATAATTTACATAACTCCCTTTCCCAAGTAGCATTAAGAACTTTCAGTCCTCAAAAAGGCCAAGCAAAGGTTATGTTTCTTATCCTAGCAATGCTGGAGAGCAAATAAACCAGTAAGGAAAAAGTAGGGGAAAAAAGCAAAAGCAGTTGCTTCAGAGAAATTTAATAACAAAGTATAGGAACCCTTGTTCTTACAAAATAAAACACTGACCTGCCAATGGCTTCAACAAGGTGAGGATTATACTTCCAAACTATACAATTATTTTTAGTTTTATTTTCAAACTCCTAAATATATATATATATTTAATATATATTTATATATATATATTTAGCTTAGCACTGTGAGGCCTCAGCTGGAATACTTTTCACAGTTTTGGGCACTGCACTTTGAGAAAGATGTGAACCAACTGGAGAGAATCCAGATGAGAGCAACAAGAATGATCAAAGGTCCAGAAAATGTGATGTATGAGGAAAGACCAAAAGAATTGGGTTTGTTTAGACTAGAGAGGAACAGTCTGAGGGGAGACATGACAACAGTCTTCAGACATGTTAAAGACTGTTGCATGGGGAAGATAAACTGTTCTCTGTTTCTACTGGAAGTAGGCTGAAAAGAATAGATTTAAATTACGACAGGGGAGATTCAGATTAGACTTTAGGAAAAACTTTCTATTGGTTACAGCAATTATACCTGAGAAGATATTACCTATGGAAAACTGTGGGATCCCATCACTCAAGGCCTGGGTACTGGTATAGCTGGGTCTGCTTTGTGGCAGAGGCATGTATCATACAAACATTCCAAGTCTTTTCCAGCTTGTTTCCCCTAATGTTAGGAATGTAGGAGAAAGACTGTATGAACAGAACATTTTTTTTTTCTCTGAAGGAATTTGGACGCATCTCAGCCACGGGGTCTTTGAACAGGAGGTCAGCTGCAGCCTTAACTACAAAGGTAGTACTGTTACCTTATAACCATCACAAACTGTTTGCAATTATTCCACTGAAAACCAGGTGAAAGTTCTAATTCTCACCTGCTCTGAAGCCCCTGGACACTATTCTGGCAGTGGAGGCCTGTGCCAAAGAATCTGGCTGTAGCTAAGCATAACACCCTAAACATTGTAAAACATGCCATCCAGTGATAGATTTCTATGAACTCTGTTATATAGAAAGATTTAATACAGAAAGGAACCCAAAGATGTGACACTTTGTTAGAAAGTAGAAGATTACATAGTACAACATGTATTTTGGATTGAATTTACAATGAATTTTAAGTATAAAATAGAATCAAAGAAAAACAGGTGAAAGTAAGACAAATGCAGGGTGAATTAAGACAAAGTGCCTGACCGATAATTTCAAAGATAACTGGGAATGTAAATTAGCACTTCTGAGATCCTTTGTTTCAACAGGTGACTTTTTGGGGGGTTGGGGAGAAGGTTCTACTTGTTCGTTTGCTTTCCATTTATAATGAAAAAAAAAGAAAAACAGGCGAGATTGCAAAAGCCAGCTTTTTCCTCAGTTTCTTTGGTGCTTTTTGCTAAGCTGCCTTGGAGCTACAAAGGTTCACAGTCTTTGAAACGTAGACTCATACCCTAGAAGTGATTACAATGGAAAAATGAGTCCTTAAAATACATGACCACATAGAGAATCGTATGGGATCTGCTGCCGATACACCTCCAGAAGACTGCGTCCTGGTAGGGGCTGTGCATGAAGAGGCCTCCCTCCTCAGACAGGCATAGGTCGCTGGGTCTGTGGAAATACTGACTTGGTTTTGAGCTGCTATACGTACTGGCTTCTGAGGAGAGAGTTCTGCAGAGGAGGAGCCGTGTCTTTTGTTTTAATGTTTACAGGGCACCAACTCAAGGGTTAGAATGAGTACTGTGATACGTATATCCTCAGCCGGATGACAGAGCTTCCCCTGAAGTTGATGACGGTGTTAACAGTGATCATTTCCAAGTCCAACTGAATAGTACGGGGCCCTTTCACGGGACGGGTCATCACCAGGGTAGCACTGATCGGTCCCGTTTGCTGTACACAAAACAAGAGGAAGCAGGTGAGATTTCCAGAAATGGTTCATGAAAGCTATCATGTCAGGTGAGACCATGTTATGTCCACAGTCCTCGAGCAGCCAAAATAACACTACTTTCTGTTGCATTGTTAGAAGCTACTACAATTCACAGGAGAGAGAGCTTCAATTCAGCGTTTGGCTCCATCTCAGTGTTTTGTATGAACTATCACCTTCTACAGTTTTAAAAGCCTTTGGGAGCCCTGCACATAAAAGAAGCTATTGTGCATAGAAATTTGCTATTGTCTGAGTGGGAAAAGATGAAAACATGGATTTGGAGTATGTAAAAATAATGTCAAATTTTTTTGGTCAGTTATTATTTAATCTGATGCAAAAGCTATTATTACTTCGAAGCAGCAAACCCCAAGAAGGGGTTATGTTACCAGAGCTTTGAGAACAGATGTTTCGCTATGAGTGGAATCAGGGTTGGTTGTACAACTGCGTGTTAACGTTGCAAAACCTCACCCTCTGAAGAGAGCTTTAAATATGTGAAGGCTCATCAGAAAATCTGTCTTTTAGTAAGTGGAAGCAGAGCTTTGAAATATCTGGCCAGAACAGTGGATTATGAAAATTTAAAAATTAGAGTTTTGGAGGTTAAAACCAAATGTAATTTGGTTTCCAACAGAAGCTTATGTACATAAAGTGGGACCTGTTTTACCACGAAAAGGAGCATTTATGTTGTATTTGATAATAGAAGCCCAAGAAAATGGTGAGGAGGAGCTGGCCGGGCTGTCCAGGGCCAGGCTGTGTGCCTGGTACTGCAGCCCACCCAGCAGCAGCCCGGGGGCCCTGTGCTTCTCTGCCTGCTCCTGCTGTTCTCAAAACAAGGAATAAGCACCACCTGCTGGCTACAAACCTGACACATGAACGTGTTGCCTGTGAAGGAAAAGGACGGCTTGTGCAAGCAAAGTAGTCTAGGTGACAAATGAATGGGAATGTGATAAATAAATACAAGCAAAATAGCTGACTTGAGCGGTGAAGCTCATCAATGGAGCCTTAGCAAGTGCCAGGTCAGCCCTGAATAGGGGAGGTCAGTGGGATCAGTAATGACTTTATAGCAGGAAAGAACTTGTGAGATGTGCATGATCATTCACTTGTCATTTTGGGAATTTTGAAACCTTTTTTATTTCTTTTTAACATTAAGAATTTTACACTGAAGCTCGCATGAGGAACATGTTTTGAAATCTATTGAAATCTGTCATGCAACCATTTTCTGTCAATCATGGGAGCCATCAGTAGTCACCAAACATCACTTAAGGTGAATATCAAAGCCAGACCAGCACAAGGACCTGCATGTCTGCATGTAAAAATGTCTCATGCTGAAGGTTTGAATGGTATTTAGTAAAAGAAAGAAGAGTTCTGCTGTCAGAAAGAAATTCCACTAACAAGAAGATACTCCAGGTTTTCTCCCAGCCAGCGCCAGACTTACCCGCATGTAGAATTCCCTGCCCTCATTCCCTGATTTGATTTGGAAGATGTAGTAGGCTCCAGGGTAGCGAGTTGTTGCTTGCATCTGAAAGATGTCAGAAGGCACTGACCGCCCAGACACAATATCCATGACTCTGTACAAGATGGTGAATGGCTGATCTCGGCAGCCAGGATTTTCAGCTGGACACATACAGCGGCTAAAAGAGAGATAGGATTGTCATCAGTGGTTACAAATTCCTGTTTTACTTGATTTTTTACATGCTGATACAGCTGCAAAGAACAATCAATCAATCAATCAATAAATCAAGTTGCCAACCACCTAAAAGAATCAATGAAAATGTAATGAATTTGCTTATTTTTATTTTTATTTTTCTCTGCTACCTCAGTCTGCTTATATCCCTGACTTCTTTTCTTGTCTTCCAGGCTTTGCCAAAATATCTTGGCATCCTATGTCTTCTTAGATACTTGAAAATCCATGCTGTCTTTAAGGCAGCTCTGCAGGTGTAGAATACCCTATACATGTTTGTTCTGATAGTAATTTAAACTGAACTCCCCCCTTCCACCCACCCTGGGGCTCTTGAAGCTAAGATGTCTGCTGTATATTGTTAGCCTGCAATGCATTTCTTATCCATCAACTTGTCCAGCTTTCCTTTGCACCCCCAGGAACATTTGGCATCCATGGTACCGTGTGGCTCCACAGCCCCTGGCAAGCAGTGCAGAAACATCTCTCTGCTCTCCTTGCACGGCCTCTTGCTGACTTTGATGCCTGCAGCTCTTGGGAGCAGACCGTCAATCCCTGCTCATGCTCCATGTGCAACTCAGGCTTTTGTATTTGACCCTGTTCATGGCTGAAGTGTTCTAAACTTAGTTGCTTCTCACAAGGAATCTGTTCCATGCTTTTGACCGTCTTTGTGGCTCTTTATGAACCTTTGTCTGGTTATATTACATTGCTCTTGAAAGGAGGGGATGGAACTGTGCAGTCCTGAAGATATGGGTACACAATGGCACGTGTTCTAAGGATATTCCATACCTCAATTTCAGATTGCTTTTTCTCTGGTGATTCTGGCAGATTATGCAACTACCTGTAACAGTCCTCAAACCTCGCTTTGGAGGGACTAGAATCAGATAAGTGCTCTTTATTTACCTTGTGAAGTTGGCATTGTATTTTTACTTTATATTCATCTACACTGAATTTCATCTGCCATTTTTGTTGCAGTCATTGAGGCTTCTTCTGCAATTCTCTTCTTATCTTTCAACCTCTTATTCACCTGTTCCAGGGGTTGCTCACTTACTTATGACTGCTCAATTTCCATAGAAACCTAAAGTAGGGTTATTTTCAGAAGCCTTTGGAAACCCAAGCAGACTATCAGCCCATGCCCCGTAGCCATAAGCTGCTGAATTCTTCAGAGAACTCCAATAAAGTTCTGAGGCAGGATGTCCCTTTATAAAATCCATGTTGGGGAATTTACTGGATGGAAAATAGTTGCTTTTTTTTTTTCCTCTATTTTTTTCTATAACCTCCACTACCAACACCAACTTCAGACAATTCCTCTGGCAAATCCTCCATACAAAAGTTCCTGGCATTACAAACACCCAATCCTTTCCACAGAGAACACAGATGCAAAGAATTTGCTTGTCTTTTATACTGACCACTTCTAGACATATGCCACAAATTAAATGCAGTCACATCTAGATATGTGCCAAAGCCACCAAATACAAAGCTCAGAGATCAAGAGTTTTGGTGGAAGCTGATTTGTAAGTACTCCGCAGTTGGGCTCTGAGGAATTTAGATACATAGACTTTAAATATTTCAGCTTCTAGTTTAAGATTCTACCATCTGTGAAGATAGGTAGAGCCAGAATTGGCAGAACAGAACTTGTCCATTCCTCAGCTGTCCTAGTTCAGAAAGCAATGTAAAGGCATGAAAGCATTGTCATGGGAAGCCGTGGATTCTTCACCTCTTACTTATCTATAAAATACATTAGGCTACCAAGTAATCCCAAGTAATTGGGTTTAGTGCAAACACTATGGATGAAATTCTATGGCCTGCAATACTTAGAGATCTAGCTGGAGCTGAAACATTTTGAGGCCCAGGCAGGTACATACAAAAATGTGAAAGAATCAGGCAACTTTTAGAAATGTGCTGCCTCCCCCCGATTTGTTTACCCAAATCGTTCCATATTTAAACAGGAACAGTGCTAATAGCCCCATTCAGATATACCCAATTTCCAGACAATGCAAATCAGTCTGTGGACTTTTCAGCACATTTAGCCTTTAAGCGGCAGGAAACTACTTGGACCCTGCGATAACTAGCATCTAATGTTTTTAAAGTACTTCCTGAACATGAGCTAGTTAATATTTACAGGAAATACTCATATTAACAAACGGGCTGCATTTGAGCATATATGAAGTCAATTAGTAATGTAAGTAAATGTCTCATTACGTTACAAACCTTGCTGTTTTTTTCTACTCACTGATAAGTGTTTTTCCAGTCTAACTTCCCACACATCTGAGTATCATATCATATCCCACCTGGTGACCTGGTAAGGAATTGCAATTTATTATTTGTATAAAGCTTACTAATGGTAAATGCAGCAACAGCAGGTATCTATAGCTCTTTAGGTACACTTAATGGTTGTGTTGCAAAAACATAGCTTATTTGGTTCACTAGATATGCTTCACACAGACAGAATTTGCTTCTATGGCTGTGGGTATGGTACTCACTTCTCGTTAATCTGGATATAAGGATCCTCGCATCTTACTGGGTCTAAACATTTATATTCTCCTGGGATATTGAAACACGTTTGCTGTGGAGTGCAGGTGAAGTTTCTAGTTTCACATTCATTGATATCTAAAACACAAAAAAAAAACAAGAGAAAGACAAGCAGGGATGTATATGCAAGGCACAGCTCTTTTATTGCTATGTCCATCATAAGGAATTGCCCCAAAATTTGCAATGCTCTTGCACCATGAGAAGTGGCTTTTTGATAACTGGCCCCTCTTCTAAGACCAGTTTTTACTCTATTCATTTCTCGTTACTGGAGTGATTCCGTATGCTAAGTGCTGCAAAAATAAAAAAGAAATTGGCTGCTCAAGCTTTCTGACCTTACAGAATGTGAAAACTAAAGAGAGACGTGCAGCAGAGAGGAAGGCATCTGAGGGCTTTACTGTGTAGCTGTTTCTTAGGCAGTAAAGCCTTCCTTACACCAATTGACCTCAGTGGGACTGCTCGTGTGATGATGTTCTCACCAGAATCACATAATTGGCCCCTATGAGTATGTCACTTATGCAATGCCAAGACCAAGCATCTCAGTCCTTGAAAACCTCTTTCCAGACACAGGACTTACTTGCTAGTCCCTCTGGGTGCTGGAATGTTCTTACCTTGGCAGCTTCTGCTATCATCAAGCAGGTTATAGCCCGAAGGACAGATACAGTAGTAAGAACCAGGCCCATTCACACATTCGTGCTGGCAGAGGAACTCTGAGAAGCTGCATTCGTCCATGTCTGCAACGGTAAAATACAGTTTAGAGTTTTTGGCTTCACAGTCAAAAGAGCAGTCCCACAAGCAGGGGCCATCCAGACTATGTGCCTATCACCCCAGCTGGAGTTTGGCACCTTCCAACTCCTCAGAGCTCTGAGGCAGCCTGGCAAAATACTGTTAAACAGGTTCTTGGCTAAACCTTTTTTTTTTTTTTTTTTCTTTCCCTAGGGAAACCAAGGCCGCTGCTCAACACAATGCATGGCTCTTATATATTTATTTTTCTTTTTGAATACCTGTCACCAGTTGGCTGTGTTTTCGGTTCTGTTTTACGTCAGAGATAGCGGTACTCCAATAACAAATCTGCAACTGTAATTTGTAAGTAGAGACTTGGTGGTGCTTTTCTTTACTTTTTTTTTTTTTCTTCTTCTTTTTCTGGAGAGCAAACTTCCCTTTCCCAGGGCCACATGGGTCCCAGCAGAAATCCTGCAGCCAGCCCTGGCTGTTTTATGCTTCTTAGCCTCTAGCCAGTTACTTGCAAGGCGTTCCAAGCAAGACTTCAGAGCTCATCCCTGCTTGAGTCAGACCGACTAGAAGGCCCAGAGTTCTCCCAGATACCCAGGAAGCTAAACAGGCTGTCCAACCTCTGATTGAAAGCAGAAAATGATCTCTTTTCCCCTTTTCTCATGAATTGATCAGTCATCATATTCTGCAGAACTGTGCTCAAGTAGAAAGATGAACTTCTGAGCTGCACATGGAGGCATGGCTGACCGAGGAGAAAACACATGCAAAGGCGCTAGACTGAGGGAGGCTGCTGTTAATCATTTCCTTATTTCTCTATTCAGGGGAAGAAAGAAACAAAAGCCATAGACCCAGCCAGGAACTCCCAAGTTCATATTCCCAGCTCTGACATGTTGACTCTCCCAGGCAAATCACTTTTACTCCTCAGACTGAATTTCCCTTTCTTTAAATTGGGCTTAGGCCATCTATACACTTCTGTTGTTTTGTACAGATGCACTTGAGAAAGTATTTGAAGTCCAAATGTGCTTAAGTGGCTTTATGTCTGCAACCACATAATCAAAAGAGAGATGAAGGGAACTTCACAGCTACACAGTCCTGTTAGTGTGTGGCTTGCCCCAGCGAGTTCACTGAGAAAAGCACTCCATAAGGGCACTGGGATATCGCCCACTCCCTCTAGGTCTTGCAGCCCAGCCCTCAAGCACCATCAGATTCATGTAACCTGTGAGCAGCTGCTGTCAAGTGCTGGAGGTACATAAAGCCCCAAGGGCCCCACGTTGCTGCTGCTGAACCACATGGGGCAGACACAGCCAAACCCTTCTGCAGTGGTTCTGTCTACTGCATCTGCAGGGGCCATTCCTTTTGCAAGCCTCAGTGATGTCCAGTGGTTGTTTGTGAAATGAAAGAATCTCATTCAGAGGAATTTCACCCACTTCCAACAAGTGTTTGCTTGTGCAGAAGGGTCAAGAGATGTTTTTCTGCCCTAAATCTGAGTGGTGGAAAATCCCTTTTGCAGGCTTAACTCTCAGCCACAAATGAGGTTTAAGCATAACCTCTCTTGGCACCTTTTTATACTGGCAATGTTTGTGTGGTATTGCACTCAACTTAGTTGATTCAGGCCCTCAGCTAGCTCAGGAACATGTAAAAATTTAGAAGCAGAAATTCTACTGGAAAGCAGAAATCTTAAGTTAGGTGTTGCAGCTGTATATGTTAAGACCCTTTAGAGATTTAGGTCTTTGTACTCTCCCTCATAATAAGGAGATTTGCATGAGAGAACAACTTCAGATACACTAATCTATATACAGACTGCATATCACATGTCTTCTCTTTCAGAAACAGCATGTTACATCTGTTTACTGTAAATTAAAAAACAAGTATTTTCCAGTGTGTTTTTCCTTCCAAGAAATATTGGCTGGATTCTCTAATTTTATCAGGCTGTGGGAACATTAAGCACAGAAATAAGTTTTGCCTTCAATTAAAATAAAGCAATAAAATAAAAACAAAAACAAGAGAGGGAGAAGTAGAGTGACATAAGCACAGTTTCATCTGCTATGAACTGAACATATCAGCTCTGCTAAGAAACCACATATTACTTCTGAAGCACAGCCAGAACCATCCGAAGGAAAAGAGGGAATGTTTCAGGCAGAAGGGTGCAGTTGTAAGAGCAAGAGCAATACATGCCTTCTACTGGCAAATGGAAAAGTGCTTTTTGCATGACTATTTCTTTAATCACATAAGAATGTTCTAGGACTGTCCCTAGTTTACTTGCTTTATTAAGGCTCCCATTTATCACTAGAAAGCATTTTGTATGTTTTGCCGTTATCTTAAAGCTTTTTAAGATTTAGCTTTTTCCTTTAAAACTATTTGCAGCCATCCTCCATCGTGCTTTTCTGGGCATTTGCTGTGTAGTTTAACTGGAAGAATCAGATTAGCGGCTATCCTGCTGCTAGCCATAGACCAAAGCAGAAGACTTGTAAAAAAGCATGTACAAAACAATACTTCAGGAAAGGAAAGCCAAATAGAATTAAAGAAACCAGACCCAACAAATAACTGAAGACAGTTACCGCTGCAGTTAACTCCGTCAGCTTCCAGTTCATAGCCAGGTTCACAACGGCAGAGAAAAGAGCCATAGGTATTGACGCAGGACTGAGTGCAAGGGTTTTCGCCTGTGCATTCGTTCACATCTGCGGGAAACCAATGCTCATTGCATCAGTGACTTCTCCCCAAACTCTATTTTCAATTCATTACTGTAAAGCATTTGAAAGAGATTATCTGTACAGTAAAAATGGTTTGTTCTGAAAAACATAACCAAGTCAGTAATGTTTATTTGGATTAAGGAGATGTTTGGAAATAGCATGTTGGAAACACAACATGCATGGAAGTGAAGGTTTGGGGAATACCTTAATTCAAAAAAATAACGTGGAAGATGGGGTGAAAATTTGATTACAAGGACTTCTCTCTTTATCCTGTAATTTTAAAATTGTAGAACTGATTATACAGTTGAACTGATTATACAGATTATAACAGACCTGAGGAAAAATGCAGCAGGATACACCTGAGGAATTAAATACAATGAGGAATGGTCCTTATGGAAACCTAGGGCTATGGCAAAGCCTTTTTTTTTTTTTTTTTTTTTTTTTTTTTTTTTTTTTTTTTTATTCCTTTTAGGATATTAGCAGCTTCTGGAGAGTCCTCACATCATTAGCACAGACCATTTCCTGGAGAATGTGGGAAGATGCTCTGCATTGCTGCTTAGCTAAGGAGAGGCTTCATGGAGAGGTTGTGTCAACTTGGATTCAGGTAGCACATCACAGCAAAAGGTAGTCAGGTGCTCAGGACCCTCATGTGGAGCTTGGGAGCCTCAGATCTAATTTTTTCATCTGATAGAGATTTCCTCTCTCAGGTGGGTCACACAGCCTCAGATTTTAAAAATACTTCAGTGCCTAAATCTCAGTAATTTCAGTGAGTGTCTTTAGCAGGGTTTGGCCTCGTGCATATCTATGGATACACTGCTCATGTCGCTACCTGTATGTTACCTCAGCCCCTCCTAGGTACTGTGGTGACAAACATATGCTCACATGGGAGCTACAGAAATACCTCAAAAAGACAAACCCATCAACATTTCAAAAGCGATGTTGGGAAGCTTACTTTTATGCTAAAAAGTAAGCAAGTTTTAAGAGTGTTGCTGGGTTGGGACCAAAGGTTTCAGTTATGGTACAGCGTACACAGTACCTTGGCATGATCTTCCGTCATCATTGAGGGTAAAGCCTGGGTTGCACGTGCAGGAGTAGGAACCGGGCACATTGGCACAGAGCTGCTGGCAATAGCCATAGCGACATTCATCTATGTCTACAAATGAAAAAAATTAGAGTGATCTGCATTTTCACATGCAGACACAAAGCATCAAGTACACTGAATCAATAGCACCAGAAACAGAGAAGTGACCCAGCACAGTAGTTACAGACTAACAGCCAAACTTGTAGGTGTTCAGATCCAATTAGTCAATCATGTCTCTGCTCAAAAAGAATGCATTTTTTCCACATCGACATCTGTCAGTCGGTCATATAAACAGATTATCATTGATTGATCTTCAGCTCAATGATACATGATCAGAAGGCCCAATCAGTCCCTGTAAACGTTATCTCAAGGCCTATCTGATAGCCAGCACAGCAAACCTTGTAGCAAAGTTTCGTCAGAATCAAGAGGGAAATATCTTTTATCTCCACATATACAAAAGCTACTTACTAAAAAAGCATGAAGTATTTATTACCAAACGCAGTTTGTTTGTTTGTTTTTCCCCAGACAGGGCATTCTCTAAAGACCCTTTGTCCAACAGTCACATTCACATTTTATACGAATCTTTATATGACATACTAAAATGTAAACAATAAATTTGCTGCCAAAATCAAATAGCAGTTTGGGCTGAAATGCAGCATTAGAAATACATGCAGTTGACTGCTATAAGCACAAACAAATGCTGTAAGTTATGTGTGATGGAAGTGCTAAAAGAATTTTGTTCCTGGCCTAGGAACTGGAGAAGTTGTCTTGTCCAAGGCTTTACATTTCCTTTGGTATAAACTGGCTTTTGATTTATGGAGATTTTTTTTTTTTAATGGCTACTCTGAAAACTTTGCAGCCTTCCAATAATGTTCTAAACATTGAGTTCCTGCTTAGGTTTTTCTTATGGGCAATTCAAATAAGATCACAGATCACGTCTTGCTCCTCATTCAATAACCATCCCTGCTGATCTCTAGAGTCATTGTAAGGACAGCAGATGACAAACCAGGTACTGGAAGACAGTCTTTATTTAAATGCTTTCTGTAAATATGGCCATGATGGGATGTTTTATTGAAGCAGTACATTATTTTTTGCCAATTTGAAAACAGAACGGTGTATGGAAAAACAATAATTATGTAAAAGTCTGGGGATGAGTTGGAAAAATAACAATCCTGTCTGCTGAAAGACTCATGCAAGAAGGGACAATTTTGAATGTCCATTCCTAAGACTCTCAGGAGGGTATGAAATAAGGGCATTCAATCAATGAAATGCTAAGCTAGGAAGATGACATCATTCAAATATGCAAGTCCTGCTTCAAGGGAAGGATGCCTGCACTCGTTTTCATTGATGCTGCAACTTCTGTTAACTAGAAATTGCTTACACTCCAAACTGAAAGTCAGCTCCTACAGCTTTGAGCAATTTCAGAAAGCTGTAGTATCTGAATTAGATCTTCTGCAGTTTTCATGCTCCTTTCACCAGATCTGCTGAATCTAATTCTACTTTCCATTAAACCACTTCTGCATGAGTTTAGTTTGAAGCAGTTCTACAGGTGTGAAATAAAGTTTCTGCAGTAGGAAACCAAGTGTATAAATCTGCAACCAGTTTGCTATTAAGGTTTTGTGATTAAAGCGTGAAGGCACAGCTTTTGGTGAAGTGACCCTTATGAGAGATTCCAATGCACAAGAAAATCAAAATGACAGTATTCTTCCTATGGTTCACAAGTACACATATATATCAGCATGAATTTCAGCAGTTCATTATTTTTTAGTTAACTGCTTCCTGTTTTGGTGTTAAATATTAAGAATGTTTTGGGAAAATGAATTCCTGAATGACTGGAACATTTACATGATGTGGTAATACCATAAAAACCACAATGTTGTGAATCTGTTTTATAAGTAGCTACATCCTGTAATTCAAGTTTATGTTGTTGGCCTCGATAGGTCAGTTTTGCCATAGCAAGTTTCACAAAGGCTTTCTGAAAACGTCAGAAGTTTTGGAAATACTCTCTATGTGTAAAATAACAGGAACAATGGCACCGGGTTTCACTGTTACTAGCTTTTACATCTCAGTTCACTCTTAATTGCAAGATAACCAAAAGCCAGGGTCAGCTGTCGTATGTACACCAGCACTAGGCTTGGTCCAAATCCTGCAAAAAGTGACAGTGGTTTTAAGTAAATTAATATCTCATTTTGCTGGTGTATTACTTTAAATACGTGCTTTGGATTTTGCAGGACTGTTATCTCAAGAACACTACATTTTGAGAATAAGGACTTTTTTAAGGCTTTTTCTTGTGGGTGGTTCCTGTGGACACTGCTTCACTTGCTCCTGTGTAAGCATTACTGGGATAATTACATTAGATAGAAGTTTAGCTTTTTGTAACTATGGTATACTAAGAGTACAAACACACACACAGAGAAAATGTCTCTAAAAACTCAGTCCAGACCTCTGATTACATTAAATGGCCTTTTATTGCCTTATGCCAGCACAAATCCCTTCTCCAAGGCCAGTGGAAAGTATGGAAAACTGAGACTCTTTTGACACACTAAAGTATAAAGATTTTAAATAAAATTTGCTTCTAGCTCTTTGCATTGCCTTGTAATAATCCACCCCATGCTTACATAATGTGGACAACACTGGGGTGTTATTGCTTATTCTAAATGGCATAAGCAGATATTCAAATCAGTTCAGCAAAGCAGCCACTTCAGTTCTCTGGTATATCCATCAAGCAGCAAAGTGCTTTAGATCTGTGTCCAAGGCCTGAATGCTGCACACAGTCATTAAGTTTGGGCTGTAACTGGGAGAAGTAAATGGGTAACACAACAGTCAATGTAGAGCAGAATCCCCCCTCCCTCATCCTCTCCCTACCACATACGCCTGTGCAACCCCAGCCTGGGATTAGCTTAGTGCATCTGCATCCCTGAGCTGTTCTCCACCTCCAGTTCCCCTTTTCCACGTGATCACTAGGAGTTGTGAGGGAGTACAGAGGTTTCCAGGAGAAGAGGAATTACCAGGTATTAAGGAGCTGGGGACTTGGAGACTTCATATCCCAGGGGAACTACAAGATGATGACTCCCCAGAGCAGGTACAGCTACACAGACCCTCATTTGGATGTGGATCAGCTCTGTCCCCACCAGCTACCCCACGCCTACCAGGTGAGTTACACAGCAGCTGCTTGCAGTAGATAGAAAAGCAGCCACAAGGCAGCCCTGCAATGGAATTGGTATTTGGGAGGACAAATTTGGAAAACAGCTGGAGAAGCTCCAGGGCTAAATGGGCAGGGAAACCCCATTCTCCTTCCAGCTGAGGTGTTGTGACAAGACAGTCCCGCTCCGCAGAGCTGGCAGGCAAACAGCCCATGTCTGGGGGAAAAAAGAGCAAATATAAAAGGAGCTGTTGTGTCCTGTCTCACTCAGAGAGCTGTACCTAACATCATTATCCACTTCATAATCCCATGGGCACATCAAGTGAGGGGAATGGGCTGGGGGACAGAGGAACTGGAAGATTTTCCTATGCTGTTTGTTGAGGGATGTTTTTTTAGAGAGGATGAGCTAAAAGGATGAACGGGACATTGCTGAAAGGAAAATAAAAAGTCAAAATAAAACTGCTTGGAAGCTGCAGAAATAGCACCAATTTCAGTTACATTTTTTATTGCCTCAGGCAAAAGGGTTGGTTGAATCTAGGGATTTATGGGCCTGTTTCTTCATATGAAATAGTTATCTCTGCTGGTCTGGACTATAACTGTGTGGAAAGGACATGTCTGTTTGGGAATAAATCTTTTTGTATGTGTCCTAACAATTGATCTTATATGAAAGGGAATCCTTCAGACTGGGAATATGAAAATCCCCTGTGTAACATGGATGCTGTCATATGGCATTCACATCTACATTTTTGTTCCATGAGGGAGTCTCTCTGCCAGTGTGCTGTTGGCACTTGTGAAGATGGAAGACATTAGTTTCTGCGCAGCCAAAGCTTTAACTCTGTAGTTGACAAAGACGCTCAGTGAAGTTATTTCAGCTATTCACAGGCACACAAACACAGATGCAGATATGCAGATCTTATATGGCATGAGGTTTTTACCTAAACACTGGCCTTCTAGCAGCCAGTAGCCTTCAGTGCAGGAACAAGTATATCCTCCTTCAGTGTTTATGCAGATCTGGGTGGGGTTACACTGGTGAGAATCTGAAGCACACTCATCAATATCTGCAACAGAGAAATAAAGCAATAATGTGTTAGAAATGAGAACAAGAGGCTGTTTGAACTGTACAGGGACTCTTAGTGCAATGCGTACACAGGGTCTATGTGAGGAGCCAAAGTGTGGCAGAGCAGGGAGAATGACTATAACCTGAAGTAAAATTCATAAAAACAAATGTCTGAGGGCTGTGAGAACTGAGTGTACTCATCAAGTCTCTCCCTTCTGCAGATGACCCAGTGTATCACAGAGTGCCTCGGGAAAGGCACTCGGGAAAGGATGCTTTTCATTACTTCCACATTTTCTTTGTCACTGACCTGGGATTTCCATGTTACAGGACAGTGTTCAGCCCTAGGGAATGGCTGCTGAAAGGGCTATGCAATCCGGCTGCACAGTAAGAGATGAGCAGGAGGCTCAAGAGATGCACAAATACTGTCATGAGATTCAGACATATACAAAATATTACTTCCTACCCCCACCAACACAGAATATCTCACTGCAATTTTTCTGACATAAGGTTAAGAAAATATCAACCTTCACCTGCCAAAAAAAAAAAAAAAAAAAAAAAGTAGACTTCCCTGGAATCAATTTCCTGAAAATAAAACTCTTTTTATTTTTATTTTTATTTAACCGACCTTATTGTTTTTAATGTCTTTGTTTTTTTATTACAACCCCTTAGGGTGCTTTTGTTGTGGGCTTTCCTTTTTTTTTTTTTTTTTTTTGCAAAGGAGGTGAATAACATTCCTACATTTATATAAGCCAGGACACTGGAACCTAACTGATTAAAAATGCCTTCCAGAGTCATAAGTTCAATTTGAATCCCTCCTTGCTCAGTCTCTTCCCTGATGTTTCTGGCATTGAGCTTGCCTCTAGATGTCAGAAATGGAAATATCAGAAGATAAATTGTGTCATTTTTTTCAGCCAACTCAGATTTCTATGTTTTATTTATTGATACCTAAACTATTTTTTATTCCAGCATACTGTACATTGGCCTTTGCTGAAGTACTATGTCATCTGAGCAATGCTACTCCCTTGATCCCTCCCTGACTCTTATTAACCCAGACTTTGTAGGGTAATGATTAAAAGTATCTCCCAAATGCACTGGGCTGGAGCAGGTGGCAGAGGGCAGGAATTATGTCTCAGTAAGCTGGAAAATGCTAGCAGTCGTGAATTAACAGATCCAGTCTAGCACAGCAGCATATCTAACATGTTCTGTTACATAAATAAACACATACATATTATATATATGGGGAAAGTCTAGAGTTCTTATCTTGCCAACATCTGTATCAGTAATTTATGGCAAGTCAAACCTGGTAAGAAAACAAGAGTGGCACAATTACAGGTAATTAACTCTGTCGGAAATATGTTCCCACATATTCATTGGCTGGAGAAAAGGCTGGCAAAATGGTGGGGGAAGTAGGAAAGTGTAAGATAAGAAGTCTAGACTATAAAGACACATTGATACGTTGTTCAGGTCATCTATTGCTTCTGAGACTGGGCTAAAAATTCCAGCCCCCCCTCCCCTCCCCCTTCGTACAGCATATCACACATAATTGGTACTATGTGAACACATATTATCTAACCATAAATTTCATAAGAATGACGTTAATGTTTTCTAAATGAAAAAAAATCCTATTTGTCATGTTTGCTTATTGTTTGAAGAGCAAAACCTTGGGATCTAGCCAACTGTTCTGTTTCTTGCTTACCCTGAACTTAAAAAAAAAAAAAAAGAAAGAGATTTTCATTTTTCATGCCCACTGCTTCCTGTATTATTAACAGGTGAGGCCCAATGGAGACAAAAAGGCGGTGACGGTCTTACCACCAGGTATGGCAGCAATGCTGTTTGAACACCATAAATCCTCCACTTGGCTGTGGTGCAGAGAAAACAATGGGTGGCCCCTCTTTTCTTTATTATTTACCAAGCCAATTTCTCCCTTCGTGGCAATACTCTAAAGACATCTAGACATGTTCCTGGGCAAATGGCTATAGGTGGCTACGCTTGAGTAAGGGTGTCAGGCCAGGTAACCTCCTGAGGCCTCTTCCAACCTCAACCATCCCGTGACTCTGATTTGATTGCTTACTCCCAGTCTTCACCTTTCACAGTGGTAGTGGAGACTTTCATTTGAACACAACTATTTACAATGAAGGCTACTCATGGATTTTCTGCTCCCCAAGAAAACCTAATCAGCCTGACGTCCTCTATGCAGAACACCTTGGCTCCCCTCATTATACACTGAATAATACCTCACTGACTTCATTAATGAAGTTTTATGCAACAGGTATAAACAGCATTGCTGGTAGCATCAGATATGTTTTTACCTGGGCCTGAGTGCATATGTCTAATGCTATATTACATCTCCATCTTTCTCTAAGATTGCTCTTTACCATGATGCACAATTAAATTCTAACAGGCCCAGCCAATACAATCAGGTCAATAATTTTTGGCAAGCAGCCCTCTCATTTCAAACACAGAGTATAATCCCAGCTTGTCTGCCAGGAGTTATTTACATTACATGGGCTCATTAAGTGAAAGCCAATGTCTGCACATGGAGAAAAATGTTTGTGCAACAATTTGCTGACCATTAGGTATCCTCTTGAAGAATATCAGAGCTGGGAGACAGAGGGTGCCCATTTACACAGTGTTAATAAAGCTGTGGTTAATAAAGTCAAAATTAGATATTTGATGGGAGAAAAAATAAATTGTATTGACTGGGTAGAAAACCAGCCACAAAACTTTGAGACACTGCCTACATTTGATTCACTAGACTTAAGTGCCAGTGTAGAAACTATATCAAAACATTCCCAGGGCATTTTTTTGTAGAGTGGAAACTTGCAAATGGAAACAACCTGACAGCTAGTTAATAATGTGCAAATCATTCCTTACTTTGATTGCACAGCTTATTATTTCTGTTCCATTCAAACACAGATCCTAGATGTGTTCATGCTCTGGAAATACCACTTCAAAGCCCATTCTGACCATCTCTGCCATCGTCATGGGTGATATACAACAGTATAAACAGAGTAAAACTGTTATTATAAATGCACATGACACTAAGTTGTCAGTAGGCTCAAAGCAGATTAGACAAATTCATAGAATAAAAAATTATAAGGACTACATAATACAGTTGGTTACTGTATTCAGTTGTATATGGGCACCTGATGTTAAGAAGTCCCTGAGATACGGTTATCTGGAACCTGGAATAATGCCTCTCACCCAGAATAATTTGTGTTGCAGACTTCACCATTGACAGAAATCCCACAATGACTTATCTGAGTCCCAGAGTTAGGTATAACTCTCTGGAGAGAAGAAGAGTTACTAAAGTGAAGTAAGCACGCAAGAAACCCTAGAAACCTCACTGTCCCCCATTCAAGATGTTAAGAGATGGTGATATTTGATGATTTCAGCATCAGTACTGTGAAAGCATCAGATGGTGCCAGCCATCACAGATATAGAAGGATGGTTTTCATAATATTGAACCTACTTTTAGTGCCTTTCATCTCCAAGATCCTTAGAAAACATTACCTGCATCCTAAGAGACAGTTCATAGTTAGTCCATTTTTATTGGAAGCCTTCCAATCCTAGAACAAATTAAACTGTACTACAAAACCCTGCAATGTCCCACTTAATGATACTTATCAGCGCCCCTGGATTCTAACTGGGAAATTCAAGGCTAAGGAATTAAGGGCCTAGCCTGTGACCACTTAACAAGACAGAAACCAGAACAGGCCACAGGCGTTTCTGACTTCCAGTACTTTGTGTAGCCCAGCACAACCTGCCCCATTGTAAGAATTTCTCAGAAATTTCATGCAGCCTCTACATTGGCTGGTGAGAGCCAAAGTAGATTAATTATCATTCTGGAAGCATTACATGTATTTTCTACCAGGAGACTGCAGGGGCACTAAAGGCCCTTTCAGCTAAACTCCTTTCTCCCATGCTTCTCCCAGCCCTACTGCCCTGCCCTAATGATGCGTTGATTAAAAATTCAGTAGCTTCCAGTAGCTACTGAAACAGAGACAACTACTGCCGCTGTCAGTGGCAAATTGAGCAAGTTATCTAGCTACTACACGTTTTCTTACCCTTACAGACAAGACTGAGACTGTTCCTGGAAGTTACTTATGAAAACAGGAGGATGCTAAAGATAGTCACAATACCTAATCTGTTTGAATAAATCCAAATTTGCCCCAGTGAATAGTGACCCTGGGTGTCTTAAAGGTCCCTGACTTTGAGAGAGCAGCTGTTCAGCACTTGAAACCACATTAGGGAACCAAGGCAGGGCAGGGTGGATCCCTGTGCAGAACTTCCCTTGCCTAGGAATGCTTGGCCAACTCTGGTTGATTATGCTGCGTGCTATCAAATTAGCAGTCATCTATAATCTCTTATTCTCTCATATGACCTTCTAGTTGTTGTGTTGATATTACTGATCCCACAGCTAGTTACAAGGGCAGAAGTCCAGACTGAAAATAAAATTTGACCTGACGTGGGAACAATATACGTTGTTACCTCCCAATTGACTACTGAGAACAGCCACAAAGTCCCTCCACACCACTGCTCTCTGCCTCTACAAGATACCACCTAGAATGAACACCAAGCACCATGGCTCAGAGCCACAAGATCTAAAGACCTTTGGTTTACTGACTGAATGGGAGAGCAAGTAGGAGGGATCTCCACATACATTTGTCAGAAAGCCCTTGCCGCGAGATCCTGAGCGCAAACACTCCCTAATTAACCACATCCCTCTCCCTTAGCTCAGGGTGTCTGTCTGAACAATTTATGCCTGCGGTGGTTTGGTTTAGCAACCCTGGGGTGTGATGTTCTGTTTATTTGACATTTTGACAGAGGTGAGGTGGCTGGGGCATTGGGGTTTCCTTTGGGGATTAGAAGGGTGGAGAGAGTGGTTTCTTACATTTCTGGCTGACTGGCTGTCTTTTGTGGGATATGATGTGCTGATGCTTTGTTTTTATTGGTACAGATTGTATTGTTAATGGATGGCAAGACGCCTAGTGACTGGAT